TTTAGTGAAGCACTATTCCAGTTTTCTTCTATTTTAAACAATGTTTGAATATTGAAATTAAGTAATTTTCTCTGGATGTGTTTCTCTGGATGGTTAGCCAATCGTTAACCTAAAGAAATATAGAATATATACGTTTAATAGACAATTAATATTCAATATTATGGATTTAACTGCACTAAAATTAACTGAATTTGAACACAAAATTAAAAAAAAACATGTATAGTTAATTTTGCTACATTTGCTACTGTTATTGAAATGAATTGTATCAACATTGAACTGAATTAAAGGGTTAGTTCACCCAAAAATGAAAATTAAGTCATTAATTACTCACCCCCATGCTGTACCAACCCCGTAAGACCTTCGTTCATCTTCGGAACACAAATAAAGATATTTTTGATTGAATCTGAGGGCTGGATCACTTTTCCATAGACAGCCTGAGGGACTGCCTCTTGACGGCCCAGAAAGTCATTAAAATAAAAGGTTTAAATATTCCATGTGCCTACAGTGGCTCAACTATAACTTTATCAAGCGGCGAGACTACTTTTTGTGCGAAAAAAAAACGTAAATAACGACTTTATTCGACTTTCCATTACTTCCTTATGGGCGCATGCGCGAGAACTGAGACGAGACCGTTCTTCTTCGACTACTTTTTGTTACCGGCTGCTCACCGCTTAGGAGTTTTACCGCCCCCTACCGTATAAGATGACGTACTGCTTGTAAACAGAACGTTTTGCGCCTCCGGCTATATCAGTACGTCATCTTATACGGTAGGGGGCGGTAAAACTCCTAAGTGGTGAGCAGCCGGTAACAAAAAGTAGTCGAAGAAGAACGGTCTCGTCTCAGTTCTCGCGCATGCGCCCATAAGGAAGTAATGGAAAGTCGAATAAAGTCGTTATTTACGTTTTTTTTTTCGCACAAAAAGTAGTCTCGTCGCTTGATAAAGTTATAGTTGAGCCACTGTAGGCACATGGAATATTTAAACCTTTTATTTTAATGACTTTCTGGGCCGTCAAGAGGCAGTCCCTCAGGCTGTCTATGGAAAAGTGATCCAGCTCTCAGATTCAATCAAAAATATCTTTATTTGTGTTCCGAAGAGGAACGAAGGTCTTACGGGGTTGGTACAGCATGGGGGTGAGTAATTAATGACTTAATTTTCATTTTTGGGTGAACTAACCCTTTAAGCTGAATAATGACACAATTGTCGTCTTTAGAGCTGCTTTACTTCTAAAAATCGAATTAGTGTCGTATCAGTGAACTTCACTACATTTTTCTGCATATTAATATAAAGCTGCTTTGAAACAATCTGTATTGCATATAAATAATGAGAAAGATTTTTGGTGAATCATAATCAAGAAAAAAATGATCAATGAGCTTTAGATGTATTAAAAAGCTCAAACATCTCCTTTTGTGTTCCACGGAAGAGTACATGATGAAATTATTCTCATTTTTGTCTGAACCGTCCCTTTAACTGTCCTTACGAGAATCAGGAGAAACGAAAATGATTAATATTTGCTGGTTTTTCCAACACATGTCCTCTCTCTGTGTTTCTACTGTGTGTCACTCTTTGTTTTCTCGTCCTCTCTCTATAACCTTGTTTGAAAGGTTAACTCAATCACAGAGCTGCTCTGAATGGAGATCATCATGTGGTGCTCATGGCTGGATGTTTTTAGCTTCATTGGAGTTCAAAGGTTCAACCAGCACAAGAAACCTGCTCATAAAAACAAGCACAAAGATCTTTTATGTCAAATGCCCTGACCCATGAATGTTACTGTGATCTAGTTCTGGATGATTTGTTGAATGTTCACAATAGCTGATGTAAAATCAAGCATCAATATGATGATTTTAATGCACTTTTAAGTTTACTGAAGATCACAAAAGTATGTATTATGATTCTCGTGAGTTGGGGAGTTTTCATATAGTTTCATTGAATTTTATTAGCAAAATTAAAGATTAATTTCGTTTACCTAGTCAAACCGTTGTAGTAAAGGATTGTGCTGTGGCGTGATCTGATGTGAAGTTATGTAGTCGAGTAACAATGTCTTTAATGCAAAGGGCTGAAAATAGTTTTAGGGTCGTGATGTTTGTCATCTCAGAGGTTTGTGTTTTTCTGACCTCGGACAAGCAGATAGGGTTATCCAGTATGATCGTAAATGAGCTTATGGGCAGACTTAACTTTCCTGAGGGCAAAGTGTCAGTCAAAATATACTTCCTGAACAACTTAAAGGTGCAATACCTAAGATTTTTGCATTAAAATATCCCAAAATCACAAGGCCAGTGTTATATATTTAGTAAAGATGATAACTCACAATATTCCAAATGTTTCAAACAATGTTTAAATCGCGAGAAAATTGAGATTTTAACCAAGGAAACGGCACGTGTCAGCAGGGGTGAGCTGGGAGTCGCGAGTCAATCGCGTCATATCCGCTTACCTCGGTTTCCGCTCTTACTACGTGTAGTCCTGGACAAATGCGGTAGTTGTAGTTGTGCGTTAGCGCCTATCAAACGGCAGCTTGTTTCGCGCATTTGTTATGGAATGGAGCACATATATTCTTTTCATTTATTCTCGGAATGTGAACTGTTGGCTGTAAAGGGGGTCGCACACCGGACGAGAAGCGCCGCGTCACGTTTAGGACAACTCCAGTAACGTTATCGAACACCGGACGCGCACTTTCTCATCAGTGTATGGCCAGCAATATTGTTATGTTTAATGACAGAAAATGAAGATAATGTCTGTTCTATGTTATTGTACTGTACAATTAAATACAATCGTTGCTGAGTCTGCATTCTGAAAACTTTACCTCAGAGCATCCGTCCACAGAATGAATTGAGAATCTCACGTGAAAAATCTAATAATAATCAGTAATTGTCATTCAAGCAGCTGATTTCTGTAAATGACTGCAAAACTAAATGCATAGATATTGCAGCATAGGGCAAAGTCAGGATCCATTAGCAACGGTTTGAGGCAAAAATAATTACAATTTTATATAAAACTATGTAAATGGCGCTCTGTGGCGCAGCAGGGTTTTGAACACGGTCCTGAAACGTTGCTGGGCGCCGCGGACAGACGCCGAATGGCGCCGCCGGTATGTGTACACTTATAGATAATAATGTGTTCGAATAATTATGTGGTGCAACGCGGCGCTGCAGCTTCTCGTCCGGTGTGCGACCCCCTTAACGTTAATTTTGTGAAACTGTAGCTGTGGTTGAATACTTACACGACATGAAAAGATGTGTCAAATGTACATTGCAGACATCCCAAGTCTCCCGGATCTCCCGCATATTGATAGCGTTTCCCTGATGCCCGCAAATTAGTTCAAATCTCCCGGGATATAATGTTAGAGCGAGACATACTGCGCGCATAACATACAGCGCGCTGCGCGTGCACTGTACAGAGGGAGAGACTTTGCGTTTGTGCCTCGCGAACGCGAAAGTTAGCCTTCCCTCCCACCCCCACAATCTTGTTATCGAAATATACCTCCCGGAAATGAATTCTTGCAGGTTGGGATAACTGACATTAAATTGATTTTTTATTTTTATAAAGTTACCAAGGAGGGCCAACCACGTCAACTCCTTGCGAGAGACCTGCCCCTTCAAACCCTCTCCACCATAGCTTCGTCCAGTGACTCGTACAGTAACATCTGTGATAACTAATTTACTTTTAAACCTGACTTTTCTTGCGGTTATTTCAGTTTAATGAAATACAAGCATGTCATTAAACGCAACGTTTATAGAAATCGAACTTTACCTCATCCATGACAACTAATTTTCGATTCCCGTCTGATTTATCCACGGTGGAGTTGAAAACAACAGTTCCCATCATTCCGCGTTCCTCCACGGCGTCATCAAGCAAAGCCGTTGTTGTTGTTTTGAATGTAGCGCCCTCTAGCGGCATCTAGATCTTAGGTATTGCACCTTTAAAAGAATATTTAAACAAACAAAAAAAAAATCAATTTATCATTATTTAATCCCTCTCATGATTTGTTTGTCCACTGTGAAACACGAGAAGAATTTTTTAAGAATGTTGTTTTGTCAGACAATCAAGAAAAGGCACCATGCATCATTTTTGAAGTCATTTATTTATTGATAATCTTTTCCTTAATGCAAACTCTCAAAAATAGTATCTGGTTGCATATTTAAATGCTGCATGTTAAAGTGCTGTGATTCTTGCATGTTACATGACAATTATAAATAAAAGTGTAAATAAAATGTCAATTTGACATTTTGAATAGTGAATTAAAAAAAAAAAAAATTTTTAAGTATATCAACATAGAAATATATTCAATATATGTAATGTTTTTTACATAATATAACCGTTTCTACTGTATTTTTGGTCCAGAAAATTCAGCTGTGGTAATAAGAATCGGTTTAAGACCACTGTAAAAAATATTTTCAAGATTTGTTATCACAACATATTTTCTTTTGTCAAATCAGCTTTATAATTTATTTAGTTGAGATAACTTATTATTTTGAGTTTCTGATGGTTAAATTAATATCCTTCATTGTATTAACTCACTTTTTCCAGTTCAATCAACTTAAAATTTTAAGGCAACCCAGGTTACTTACTTTTTTAAGTTAAACCAACAATATTTTTTTACAGTGTAGTAATCACAACATTTTTTCTTTTGTCAAATCAACTTAAATAATTTATTTAGTTCAGATAACATATAATTTTGAGTTTCTGATGGTTAAATTAATCTCCTTCATTGTATTAACTCACTTTTTCCAGTTCAATGAACTTAAAATTTTAAGGCAATATTTTTTACAGTGAATAGTGTACATAAACAACCTAAACAGAAAACATTATACATTGAGAATCAATTGAATTTTTTTGGCGTAAAATTCACTTGTTTTTGTCCATAAATTTATAACATCTCCAAAACTAACTCATAATATCATGTGTAATTTCACTTTGTAAGTAAAGGTGTTAAGTTTTGCTGTGTTTAGATATTTTTCTAAGTGGCTCATTTGTATAAACTAATACATTCGGTTTTGTCTTTCAGATCAACGACTGTCAACTTCATGCAACAGTTTGCGGAGAATCCTGCCGAGAAAGAAGTTGGTAAAACTGTTGAGATGTTTATAGCTGAATAACATCACATCCTGTACAATGTTGCAAACATTTGAAGCATAAAGTAAGTAGGCCTACTTGTTCTGCAGTATTGGGCAGATATCCAGGCATCTTTGGCCCATGAAAAAACAACAACGTTAATATAATGTAGCTGAGCGAAGGCTTGTGTTTACTCCGGATTACAGTCGATACGCGACCAGCCCTCAAAGATCAGCATTAGAGCAGCGAGGCAGTCGGTTGGCACTTGTGATGTGGATAATGAGTGTGTAGAACACCAAACACGAGTGTGAGGGCCAGATAAAGGATGAATTATAGATACAGCGCTCCAGGGCAAAACACTGCTGCAGGGGGAGAGATGGAGAATCTGGAAGAGCGTTCCTGGATAATGAATCCCACAGGCCACGTGCAGGCTGTATGGAGATCAGGCGAGAGAGGCAGGACTAGAAAGGGAATGTGACTTCTGGTATGTTGGAGAATTCCAAGGTAATTGCGGTCAAGTTTCTGTGACTAAGAAGAGGTGTTTTCAGAATCTCTTTTTCTGTCAAACTTTTGAAAATGCTTGTCAGTGTATTTCATTTTATTACACTGAATTCTGAGCAACCGATTAAAACTGAACTGCATTTTTTAGTCCAAAATTACACTTTTTTTTGGAAGACATTATTATCATGTATTGTGTTTTCTTCAGTTAAAGGAATAGTTTAATCCTTTACTCACCCTCAAGTTGTTTCAACCCTGTTGTTGTTCAGAAGAAGAAAGAAATTCATACAGGGTTGAAACAACTTGAGGGTGAGTAAATGATGACCGAATTTTAATTTTTAAGTGAACCAATCCTTTAAGTATCACAATTTCAACTGTCTTTATATAAGAGCTTTTTCATGAGTACCGACTCTATAATGATTTTTAAGGAAGACGTCATCATGATTTAGTTCACTGGAGTGAGGGATGATTTTTTTTCCCCCAGTCAATAGTAATAGCAACAGTACAATTGTTTTTTGTGGACTTTTGAAAATATATATATTTAGTTTTTGAACAACATTGTATTTTCGCCTAAAACGGACCGTTTGCTCGTTGGATGTCAATAGCAGAAGTTGTCTCTGGTTCTTGGCTCTCGTTCGAAGGCAGTTTGAAGTGCCCTGAATCTTGCCTGCAGACGTCTATCAGGCAGAAACAAATACAATCTCAAATCAAAACAATAAGCGGCGCGGTTTGAACCAAATCACAACATGCGTCCCTGTGCAGGCGCAACAGAAGGCAGGAATCCATGATGCCACGGGCAGAGACCTGGACCGCTTCCAACACGCACCATTGTTTTACTGGGAACTGTTTTGATCTGGAATGACTGTAGACACTGCAGACTCGTACAATTATCAACCAGACGACTATATATATCACACTGAGGAATATAATAGATAGAATGATCGATTGAAAGATAGATGGATGGAGATCGTGCCGTGCAAAAGTTCTTTTATTTCAGTAATTCAACTCAAAAGTTCAAACTAATATATTATATAGACTCATTACATGCAAAGTGTGATATTTCAAGCGTTTATTTGTTCTAGTTTTGATGATTATGGCTTACAGCTTATGAAAACCTCAAATTGAAAATTAGAATATTGTGGAAAGGGTTTCGTTTGTGTGAGATGAAATGCTGCATTGTTTCCAGTTGCACACGTCCTGAGATGGTTCCGTCAGAGTGTGTGTGTGTGTGTGATGAGAGAATCTCATGGAGCTCTGCTCTGTGCAGATGTGTGTGAGCAGCAGTGATTTGAGCAGCTCAACTTGCACTTCAAAGGTGCGTCAGGGGATCCGGGTCTCAGCTCGTCTTCATACGCTCCAGAGCAGTGCGGCCATGTAAATTTCATGACCTGTCTTTCTCACACACAGTCTCTCCGATAGCATGGCGGATATCAGCGGCCTGCCAGCTGTCAGCCGCTTCTGTCTGTTTCGATTTCTCTCGTTCTTTACTTTTCTCATTCCTTCTGTATTTTGTCTCTAAAGGGCTTCAGTCTGTCAGCCTGTGAGCCGCCGAATTCCCTCCATCACATCACACACTATTAGAGGTTTTAGGCACAAAGTGGTTGTGTTCTGGTTCCAGTTCTGCACCGGTGTGGTTTGATTTATATGCGGTTAATGGATGGTGAGATTCTCATCTTCATCCAACCGTTCTCACTCATGCTTTCCATCTGTTAGGCATGAAATGAAGTTCATTTTCTGTATATGGACTATCATTTAGAGTAGCAAGTCTATACACTCAACCTTTTTTAAAGATTTATGCAATTTAATTAATAGTAAAATTCCATCTAATTGAATTGATTAATCCTTATGTATTTAAATTGAATATTTGATTAAGGATTATTCAGTTCAATTGGATGGAATTTTACTATTAATTAAATTGTGTATATCTTTTTTTTTTTAAGGCTTACATTTAAGTGTACAGAAATGTTGCATTTGTTTACAATAAAACTTGTTTATATTGAACTAATAATGAAATATATACTTCCAAAGCATCTTTCTTAATGTTATTTCAACATTTACTAATGCAGTTATTTTAGTATCGAGATACTATTATAGTTTTTATTCACATTCTTAATTAGAATACATTTTTATATTTATATTTTTTATATATTTTTGTCAGTTTATTATGTTTCAAGTAACGTTTAATGTTTTTAGTTTTATTTAGCTGTAAAAACCTTGCTAATACATGATTAAAATCAAAAGTTGTATCTGGCGTTATTTAATGGATTAACAATGAACTATTGTACTAATGTAAATAAAGTTTAATAACAAATTAATTTCTAATTATTACTTCATTTTAGTTAATGCATTAACCAATGTTAACTGAAGTTACTAACATTTATTTACACGCTAAAAACAAGACTTGAAGTTCAGGTAAAACAATAGTAGCTAACTAGTTTAATTTATTCGAACCAGATTGAACACTAAACTAGAGAAACTTCTCTTTGTTTTACAGTTATCCTGGTATGGATGGCCGATTACATATGGCATCACAACGCTGTTTCCAGCAGGAAGAACCGGAACATGTGGAGTTTGGTCCAGTTCTTTGATCTCAGATCCAGACAAACACAAAGACTCCATTGATCGAAGCCAAAGTAAGAGTCTTAAGCCCGTAATTTTGAAAATCTGTCAATATATCTGAACGCAAGCAGCAGCTGGCCTTGAGCAAAACTGCAAGCATCTGCTGGCTTCCCCTCGTGAGAGAACCGGCATCAAACTTTCCGGATCGCCCCTTTGAACTCAGATCCAGAGAGGTGTGCGCACGTCCTCTGTGCCGAATCAAAATCAGATCTGTTTTGACAGCGTTCTGGATATTCACTTGAGAAATCAGTGCGCTGTTCCAGTTAAGGTGATCACGTGACACAAGCGCCTCAATCCTCAATCCCGCTGAGATATTCTGTTCCATCCAGTGTGTGTTTGTGCACATGTGTGAGTCTTATATTCTCTTCAGCCTGACATGGAGCCTTTAGCCTTCACAGAAAACCAAGCATATGCTAGAAATGCAGAAAATTAGTGACATTAAAAGAATCATTTCCCAAACATGTATGAATTTCTTCATGTGTTGAACACAAAAGAAGATATTTTGAAGAATGTTGGAAGTCAGTGGCTACCGTCTGGTTACCAACATGCTTCAAAATATCTTCTTTTGTGTTCAGCAGAAGAAAGAAATTCATACAGGTTTGGATCAACATGAGGGTGAGTAAATGATGACACATTTTTTTATTTTGGGGTGAACTCACCCTTTAAGAGATTCATTTGTTTGAGCCAGTTTGGTAAGATTTTAACAATAATCCATCATTAAGGTGTGTCTAGAACCCACTTGTATGTCTTTATCGGAGTAAAATCACTGTAACATGTTGTCAAGTGCTTTAAAAAAAAATTCTTCTATAAAACGTCACATTACGTTATAAAATATAATTGTAATAATATTTAGGGATGCACGATATATCGGCCACATTATCGGTATCGGCAGATATATGATCATTTTTAATGTTATCGTTATCGGCCCAACAAGAACATTAAGCCTATATCTAAAAGCCGATAAATAATGTGCTGCGCACTGTTTAACATGATGCTTTTAAATTGCTTGAAATACGATTGAAATCACTTTAAAAAAAGGAAAATCCAGTTAAAGTGCAAAATGTGCAGCGCAAGTCTGTCATATCGGCTACACAACATTAAAATAAGAACATTACAATTGTCTTTGTATCTTGGCTTTTAATGTGGAGTCTTTTTTATAATCAGGCTCTCAAAAATTGTCTAAAAATGTGGATTTAGATTTATCGGCCAATATATCGGTTATCGGCTTTCAAATATAAAGAATTATCGGTTATCGGTATCGGCCAAAATTGTCATATCGGTGCATCCCTAATAATAATACATTTTAATTAGAAAAGCGCCTTTCAAGGTACCCAACGACACTTGGGTCTCCAAGGTACCCAAGGAAAATACAAAGAACTACTAAATCACTAGTAAATATGCACAGACAATACAGGTTCAAAAGTTAGGAATCATTAAGATTTTTAATGTTTTTTAATGTTTTCTCTTATGCTCACTATGGATGCATTTATTTGATCAAAAATGCAATAAAAACAGTAAAATGAAATATTACAATCTAAAATCTTTCAAATGTAATTTATTCCTGTGAACAAAGCTGAATTTTCAGCATCACTCCAGGCTTCAGTGTCACATGATCCTTTAGAAATCATTCTAATATGATGATTTCCTGCTCAGAAAAAAAATCATATTTTTTTTTTTTTTGCTGTGGTGCCACCTTAAATATGCGGCCTGCTTTTTGACACATCTGTAGCACACATCTGATGCAGTCTTATTCAATTCACTAGGCTTTGGAACAGAGCACTTAATATATTGAAGGGCCTTTAGTGTCTTTTAAGTTATCTCAAGTTCTGTTATCTCAAGACCCTTAAAAATCCATGATTATGTAATCTCTGTCCATGTTTACTGAAAATAGTGTCTGCAGTCTCTGAATCCTCCCCTACCAATCTTTTTTTTATTTTATTAAAACATAACGCACATCAGATGATCATTCTTAAATCCTGTTTTAAGCGGCACGTTACTGGCCAACTGGCGATCATGTTTCATTTATTCACCAAAGGTATAGTTTCTATTCACTTTGGCATTGGACACTGTGAATATTAAGGATTGTCGAGGTTTGACTGTGAGCCCAAAAGGATGATAATGATTCCCAATGTGCGCTGTTATCGTACTGAAATGTCTGCATAGGTTCCCGTTTGATTATTGGGATCGGGAATAACAGTCAGCCGCATGTCTGAAACGGGACACCCGCAAAACCCAAATCGTACCGTCAAACTTCTTCCAAACGTGCTTGGCAGTGAATTGACACGTTATGACGCACACATGGCAGGCGTTGAGGAATATGATCTGTCTCATACAGCACAGACGCCTGTAGTTCCTGTAGATCCCCTGGTTCGGCCTTTCCATCGTTCACAAAAGTTTGTTTTGGACTGACTCTTAAGTTTTGTGTGAAGTAAGAAACATTGCTGGTCAGATAGACAGTGGTTTTGTTTGCATGCTGTTTTCAATCATATGCATTTCAGCATTGGGCTTTGGAGTCCTTCTTTACTTTGTGTGATTTGACACAATTTTATAAAGAACATGAGATATGCAGAAAGAAACTTTAGAATACTGTAGAATTGCTGTAGCTCTAACAGTAGAATACGGTGCTTGCAACACCAAGGTCATGGGTTCGATTCCCAGAGAATTCCTGAACTGATCAAATGTATACCGTGTATACAATGTAAGTCGCTTTGGATAAAAACATATGCCACATGCTACAGTAAATGTAAATGTTATCCACTACAATAACATGCACACATTATTGAGACTAATACAAATATCCAGATACATTGCAATATTGAATTTAGGGGTCAATGTGTATAATCACCATTAATAATGTCAATCTGCAAAACAATCCAAATGTGAAACTAATTAGGGCCCGAGCACCGATGGTGAGAGGACCCCATTGTTTTTGCTGTTTATTATTCTTCTTCTCTTAAAAGAATCGCTTTTTAAAGGGCCTAAACATGCTCGAAAACTCATGAAACTTTGTACACACTTCAGAAGTGGTGAAAATTGACGTGTTACATTGTTTTCAAAATTGGGTGGGGCAAATTCTTTAAATTATTGCCCCCCATTTTGCCCCGGCTCTACATTTCACGTACAGGTATGAAATTTGGTACATACATGTAATGACCCAATACCTACAAAAAAGTCTCTTGGAGCTTAGCCCTAAACACAACAGGAAGTCAGCTATTTTGAACTTCCTCCTAGATTTTGTGCATTTTTCGTAATTTTCTTGATGTTGTACTTTAATGAACTCCTACAGTTTTGATCTGATCCTCTTCAAATTTGGTGAGTGTAATCTTAAGGCTTTTGCGACATTAAATTTCGAAGATCTTGAGTTTTTGTCGAAGGGTGATTTTGCCTTGGCGGCCTGACAAATGTAAATCCAATTTCAGTCTTTTGGTGATTTGTGCATGAATATGTCATATAGTTCAATATTGCTTGCAGTTCCGATGTTGCTAGGCAACCACAGACAGCCTGCAGTAACTCAGGCATACAATGTCCGATCTGCCCAAACTTCACATGTTTGATAAGAGTCCTGTCCTGAACACATGACCATGCTCATATTTGGTTATAGCAATAGCGCCACCTGCTGGTAGCAGGAAGTGTGCAAATACAAATCCTTTGACATAGTCCTCCTATATTTATTATCATTACATACTGCCCACCGTGCTCTGTTTTCCTAAAACCGCCGGGTGGTGGTGGCGGCACGGGTGCGAGGGCCCTTTTCATCTCTGCTTGCAGCTTTAATTTTATTAGGGCCCAAGCCCTGAAAGGGCGAAGGCCCTATTGTTTTCCTTGGGATTATTATTAGGGCCCAAGCCCTGAAAGGGCGAAGGCCCTATTGTTTTCCTTGCGATTATTTTTCTTCACTATTATTATAATAATTATTATTTTACTACCTTTTGGGCACTTTTGGGGCCCTTAACGTGCTCGAAAACTCTTGAAACTTTGCACACGGGTCAGAACCCGCGGCCATCAGAGCCGGGCTGAAGCTGGTACCCGGGCGTGGTAGGGCGGCTCGTCAGCGCCCCCTGGAACGGGGTCCGAACACTTGGTCCATAACTCAAACACGCTTGTATGTAATAATATGAAACTCGGTACACATGTTGATCTCATCGTTTCATCTATACCTCACACTCTTACTTTTTACCCCAGCCCAACAGGAAGTCGGCTATTGAGGTTTGTTTGTAAAACGCTCGCAATGGAATGTCATATACTCCTCCTAGAGCTTTGATCAAATTCGACGAAACGCTCGGTCAGCGTGAAGTCAAGACATTGAGGATGAAAGTTTGCGAGGGGATTTTTTATATCTCGAACGGTTTGTCCGTGGCGAGGAAACGAAATCATGGCGAGAAACGTGAAACAGGAAGTGTGTTATAACTTCAGCATACATTAACTGATCTTGATGAAACTTCAGCAATGTTTTCGCTGTAAGAGGACGATCACATGGATGTGACTATTGTGAGTCAAAGTTATAGCGCCACCAACTGGCAGCAGGAAGTGTGTCACTTTCAAAATGCTTTGATATCACCTTTTATTTTTACCCGATTTGCTTCAAACTTCATATGTATAATGTAAACATACGGCAGATGTAGACCTGTGAATGGATTCTTGATATCTTTGAAACTGTTGCCGTGGCGACGCATCAAACTTTACCCTTCTTTTAGGATGCTTTTTGGATGCTTTTGAGACCCTTAGCATGCTTCAAATTGCATGAAACTCGACAGACGCATCACATTTATTAGCCAGTAGACATGTGCAAAGTTTCAGAAACGGGCGTGGTGAGGGCTCAGTAGCGCCACCTTTTGACAAAAGTGGGGTTGTTAGTTTTAACTAGAGTTACAAAAATTGGTATGTATATTGTACTCCTCGAGCCGGACAACTTTCTAATTGACACTTATTAGCTAGGACCCACAGAAAGTCAGATATTTTTGTTTGAATATGGCCACTCTGAGCCTACATGTCTCTGTGTCTCTGTGTCTTTGGC